GTATATATGTTATGCGTATTGGTGATTGGTGTTAGATTGTAATGATGTTTTGTACATTGTTTATTATGTGTTGTGAGTATGTTTTGGTGCAGGGATACTATGAATATGAATGGTATGTGAATAATTCATGAGTTATGTATGTGCAAATGTGTGGTAATTCAAGTGTGATGAATTATTGAAGATATGCATGGATGTTAAGATTAGATAATAATATTAATTGCATATGGTTGTTGTAATTTTATATGCATCGTTTGTTGTCAAGAGGCATGCTTGTTAGTTCTGAGAGAGCTAGTGACTTGTCCCAAGCTTAGAGAGGGGTTTGAAAGCTTTGAGGACGGGCTTTTGTGTGTTATTGATCTAGAGGGCAGATCCAGTTTAAAGTAAAAATCAAATAAAAATAACAGTGATTGGTACCACATGCATGAGTATTTCATTTGAGTTGCATTGAGTCATATTCTGTTTATGTTAGCAATATGAAATTGTGTGAATTATGTAGAATTAGTATATTGGTGAAACTGAGAAATTATGGATGTGTAATTGAGAATAATATGATTAATTGGGTGATGTTTTGTTTAATAAAGCATATGAAGTGTGAGAATATTATTTGTATGCATGTATGCTATACATTATATATTGTTATATGATTTTGATAATTATGTGAATTCTCACCCTTCTGTTGGAATGCTGTTTTATACGATATCACTCAGGTACTGAAGATTAGAGTTGTTTTGGCAAGAGTGAAGTTGAAGAAGCTATCTTTATTTTATTTCTATATTTATTTTGGGTTGAGTCATGCGCTGGTCATGTAACACCAGGGAAACATTTAGATTCATGTTTTGAGAGATACTTTTATATACTCTATTTAATTGATTATTCTTATTTGGATTATATGGTGAATTGACTTTTATGTCTAAGTGGTAAAATGAATGAAGTTTTATGAGTCTTAAATATTATATTTGTTTTGAATAAATTATGTCTGCTGCTACATGCTTATGTGAAAATGATATGAAAAGCATGAATTTGATTTAGTGTTATTGAGCATGACAAGAATTTGTTATGTATGGAGTATGTGTGACACCCTTAAGTGATATGCATGTTATATTTACTCTGATTTATGACGTAGTATTCTGTGGGGTTTTAGAGGGTGTTACAATGGTCATTCAGGAAATAGTTCAGGCGTTGAACCTTATGATGACATGATACTTTGCACCTTCTGGTGGCATGATTCAAGTTTCTAGAAGAACCAGTGAATTAATTCTGAAGTTTGAGGCGAGCCATCAAGACAGGGACTAAACAGGTTATGATACTTCATAATGTTCTGATAGTAACCAGGTTCTGAGATGAAGATCAAGCATTTCTAGTTATACCCTGATAAGATGTCAATGGAGAAGTATTCCTTCTCTATGTTAGCTTTTGTATTGTAAAATTTATTTTTTGAGTCTTGGGATCAAGGGGAGACTCTGAACAAGTATAAATGAAATTTTGGGTATTAACAGATTTAGGGGGAGCTGGTTAACTTTTTTGAATTTGTGTTCTATGGTGATTACCCTATATGAATTATTCTATCAAAATATATGGTTTTGTCATCATCAAACAGGGGGATATTGTAAGAACAAGATTGGTTCTGCATCTGACCTTGAGTTTTCATGATAACTTTACATGGTTTCTTAGAGAACAATTATATACTCTAATGGTTTTTGTCTAGTGTGTAGCTTTTGCTAAGCAGGTTATGCCTCTGGTAAGAAGGCGTGTGACATCATTAAATTTTGAACTCAACACTATGGAAGAATACCTTTGGTGTGTTACAAGTTAAGTCAAGATTCTGGAATACTTCTTATGAAACGGTTATAAGGAACGTTAGTACAAGAGCTTCTGATCATGACTTTACAAGAAAGCTTTAAAGGCCTTCTGAAACTTTACTTTTGTTGTTCCAAATTTTGAAGATACTGAAGACAAGTTTCTGTTAAACGAGTTCTGAAGATTTGAAGACATTCTTCTGAAGACCAAGTGCTGAAGACTCTGAAGATAAGGGTTCTATGAACAAGCTTTGAAAGATTCAAAGACTTGGGATATGAAGATACAAGTTCTGATCCTTCTACAACATGCTTCATCAACATACAAATTAGAAGCTTATGAAGATATAGAAGATAAAGATCAAGACTAGGGATTGCGTGTTATGGTGAGTATAAAAGTACAAAAGTACACAGTGACCTCTACTCTATAGGGTGGCGTAAGGAAATATCTTTTTGTACTTGTTATCTATCATTCCCACCATGACCGTTAGGAATAAAACAACTGGTTTTGTATTTCCTATTCTACCCTCCAACGAATTTTTTTTCCAACTAAAAAAGGAGTACTTTGAAGAATTTGAAATCAACGAATCAGTTCAACAAAACTAAGTTAAAGCACTGCACAAACTCTTTTGAGATATTCTTTGTATAATTTTATAAATAAGCAATGAATTTTTGTTCGTATCTTGCTATCAACACTTTTGTGTTGTTGTACTTAAATATTATGTAATCTGATTTTTAGAAGTACCTTTGTATACACATCTTTGTAAATTAGCAGTTGTTGATAGGTTTTTTGATAGACTCAGTGGTCAAGATTTTCAAGAAGACTTTGCCTGCGGTCATCATGGATTTACAATAAGGATCGACTGAGTTGTTGGGATTGCCAACAAAGTTGATTGGACGGTTGTCTGTAATCGGTTGACTATAGTGGATTAAGTTCTTGTGGATAAGACAAATCACTTTGCAGGTGGACTGAAGTAACATAATTAACAGTGAACCAGGATAAAAATAATTGTGTTCATCTATTTTTATTCACTTGTTAGTTTTGTATTTGAGTTGCAAAAAGATAATATTTAATACAATCTAATTCAAATTCTTCTTTCTTGTTGTGTTTCTCGCACCTTTAAGATAAACGAGTGAGAGGATCCTTATCTAAATTATTTATATGGTTGCAATTAATTCAATGTAAATATGAGTCTATTTGAAATGGTTTGTTAAAATGTATCCTAGCATAAGCAGTTCTGAGATTAGTTGGGAGAAATATATATATTGAAGTTGTATTAAAGTCCTATATTGTTCATATTCAAATCTTTTGAGCTAATTTTCGGGACGAGATCCAAATCCATTATTAAATGTAAATAGTTTATGACATGTTCATGAACTTTCCGGCTCTCTAGAATAACTTGTTTGGTTTAACTATATTTGGTTTAACTTTAGAGTATGTAACTTTTGTTTGGTTTTAATGTAACTATTTTTTAATAAAATTGATTTCGTCTCTAAAATCTTTTCTAACTTGAAACTAGAATGTGTATAATTTGCTGGTTCAACGTTCAATTTTTGGCGGCTGCGTTTATTTATAAATCAACAATTTTAAAATAACTAAAAATCATAAGATGTAACTTTTGCTTTCTACTATTCTACTATTGATTTTAATATTCAAACTCACTTTTACATGTATACACACATAAATTATTTTACATTTAATTTGAAAAAAAAATATGTATATGACTGGACACAGCAGAATGAACAAGAATTTCAATAACAATGTTTCTTAGTCTTAAAGATTGGCAAAAATATTCTTACTCACAAATAAAATTAATCCGAGATAAGATACAGATAGTTTAATAGATATATATGAATAAAATAAATGAATACTTAAATATATGTTTATTAATGGATATGAATATGAATTTAATGTTACTCGTGCCCGCATATATTCATATCTATTAATAAATTATAAAAATTATATAAATATTACTAGTTTATTATACTATATATCTTTTCATCTTCTAAAAAACTAAAAAAAATAGTCTTTGAAGAAAACCTTTATAGTCCATATAAATATTATTGATCATTTCATATTTAAATTTCTTCTATATTCCATACCTCATTTCAACAATTTCACCGTCCAACCAATTACGTCCAACCAATTAGTACCGCACTTTTTCCATCCAACTAGTGTCGGTCTTTCTACTCCTCTTTCATCCTCTCTTCCACCATAAATCACAATCAAAATATCACTCTTCTTTTATTAAAAATAAAAATATATAGATATTATGCTTTGGTGAAAATGAAAGAAATTAATTTGATGAAATTTTTTGTTAAAATAAAAGAGATTTGTATGAACGTTATGTGATAGTAACGTCTTGTGTCTTTTAGAAAAATAATGTTATTCATAGAAATCTGTAAATAGTTGTGGTTATCTTAAAACTCGCAGATTTTCCGTTTAATAAATATCTGCACAGATATAAGACGAATATAAATATCATATTTATCCAATGGAACTGACGCGGATATCATATTATCCGTCTCTATGAATGTTTATTTACATCTCTGCTTACTCCCACTTCAGTATATAAAAGTACCTGCAATGCCAAAGATTATACAATTCTTCAACGTACTGACCAACCGTGCCGCTAATTGCAAGATTTCCAACCACAGTGATTTCCGCAACAACTTTCTTACCAATATCAATGTAATGAATGTAGCATTTTAATCAAGTCTTAATAAATGAAGCTGCTTATTCAACATAAAAACCTTTTATACTTAACTAACAGAAAAATCTGGGTTTCCCCTATTAAATAATACTATACTTGTTGAATGAGGCGTGGTAAAACCGTGTGTTTAAACAATACAATAGAGCCTATTTTATATATGAGATACTATTCATCCCTATTTACATGATATGATATATCTATACAATGAATACAAAGTTTATAAATGGTCATGAAATAAAATCATATTTTGTATATAAGAGATACTATCCCTAGTTACATGATATGTTATATCTATACAAAGAATATAAAGATTATAAAAGATCATGAAATGAAATCATATTTTGTATAAGAGATACTATCCCTAGTTACATGATATGTTATATCTATACAAAGAACACAAAGAATATAAAATGGTCATCAAATCATAATAAAATCAGGAATCAGGCGCACTTCGAAGCAAATGGTTGTTGAGACTAACAAAGCAAGCTTCATGCTAAGCTTGCTCTTTGGAAGCTAACAAGTGGCTACCAATAGCATCATTGTTTAAATACAGATAAGTTTTTTTGCCAGAAGATGTAGTAGTAGGTACGTTAGAAAAACCAGTGTAGTTGTCATTCAACTTCGATAAGCATATTTTCGCAATAAAATCAAAGAGCTCGTTTTCTTGCACAAAAGGTTGGGCTGCATAATCTTCAACAGGCATCCACTGAATAGAAAAACAAACTATGTTGGAATATGGTCACCACCAGTCAAAAAACATCCTACAACTTTATAAAGATACCTTAGTTGCTTCAATTTCTGAGGCCTGACTTTGAATGTCAAAGGATTGAGGTTGCAACATGCAAACAAAGAACAAGTCTGATTTCTGAAAAAAAGATTTATGGCTTTGCCTGATACCAAAGAGACAGGAAGAAAAACATAAAGGTCAGTAGCAGGCCAGATATTGAAGACAGAAAATTTGTGAACTATATGCATGCATTCTAATGATTCTTGTGTAAAAGATATAGTTGTGCCAACATTCAGACTGCATGCTAGTTGACGAGGTTGGTGTGTGTGAGTCACTCTTACCTGAAAGCTAAAACTTCAACAAACTCTGTCTCTACCTACATGAAGAACAAAAGTAATGGCATTAAGACTTCGAAATGAATAGTCCATTTTTTGTTTTACTATACAATGGTGTAATATAAATTTTGAAGAATGTTTAGTTAAATATATTAATAACAGACGGTGACAAGAAAAAAATGAAATAGAACAATTTAATCTGTACTATATTTTGTGTTTGCTTACCCCTGTCTCTTCCTTCACTTCTCTAATTACAGCATCACAAATATCCTCGCCCTGCAAATAAGATAAAAATGAATCAAAAGAACAAATTATAAGTTTCATAATTTGATGAATAATCATGTTGATATATACTTCATTCACAGCTCCAGTAGGCATCTTCCATACACCTGTGCCTCCAAATCTACCACTGGTTTCCTGAACCACAAGCACCTATGAAACAAAACAAGACTGTTTAAAGTATAATATAACAGAATGATTGGTGAGAAAAAGAAATGAAAGAGGAAGAAGATTACCTCTCTTTTGTTATTGACAACAAAAGCACCAACGCCGAGACGGTGTGAAGCATTTGCAGGAATGCTATCAGGGGTATGAGGGATCCAATATACAAGCATCAAGTAATCTGACTCAGCATGATGGTACCTAAATCCAGCCTGCAATGCAATAAAAAATTGTTGGAATTCACACTCAATCTCATTATAAGCTTATGGTAGTAACAAAATTGTATATACCTTGACAGCAGAATGAACGAGATTAGAATGCTGTAAGGGCAAATTGATCCATATTCCCTTTTTTCCCTGTTTTGAATAGATTAAATTAATTGAAAACATTAGTAATAATAGCAATTGATTAGTGAATGTAGATGATTAACTATGTAATTAACCTGTTGAGTCCATAGAGACATTGAATGTTCCAATTTAGAAGCAAATGAATCAGAATCCATAGGGTTTTGAACGGTTAGTATAACTCCTCCAAATTTATCCTCTTCCACACTCATTCCTTCAATCTTTTCACCTTCCATTTGATCTTTACAAGAATAAAACAAAAAAGAGATTACGAATTGAAACGGAGGAATGAACAGTGGTAGTTGTTTTGGTTTGGAATGAAATGTAATAATGAAAAATGATGTATTTTTGTGTTGTTATATAGAATAGAAATGAATTGACTTTTCAATGCATTACGCGTTTCAGCATTTTTTAAAGAGTTCAAACTCGGCCGTTTGTATAAGACTTCACTAGAAAATGCTTGGCATTTGAATTTTGAACCAATATTTCGTCGATGCATCGTGAAGCGTGTGTTCTTATCATCATTCCAAAAGTTATCATAATTTATGAGTATCATACCCATCCCATTCAATATTCATTATTATAATTTTTTCTACTCCCACCAAAAATTCCAACTTAAATCCAACTACCTTAGGTGAACTTGACTCACAAACTCCACTTTTTCAAATCAAACGAATACATAAATTATTCAGATCTGTTTATTTGCTAACATTTGATTAGGTGATATTTGAGTTTTTCAATCCACAGATTTGTTAGTGTGTCGTGATCTCACTAAAAAAATATAAATTAATTTTACATTATCAATCAATTACGACTATATATGAGGACTATATATTAGGACATATTTGTCGCACTCATAAGGCAAAAATAGTGGCAAAAATTTGAGACTAATTCATTAATTGACTTGATTCACACAATAAAGTCGCCACCGTATTTTATTGTTTCCAAAAGAAAAACGGAAAAAGAGCGAATAAGATCCAAAATGAATTAAATAGAGATTAAGATAGAGGGTTGGTTATACAAATGAAATATATTAACACCCTAAGTATCTACGGTACTCCGCAGAATCCACTTTGTTTGTTTTAATAAGAGTTGCTATCTAAGGCTTAAATTTGCTAAAGGGAAATGAATTAAAGAGTTATTAAAGAACAAAAAGAAAATATTTTTTTATTATTGTGTCCGCCGCAGTTGCGAATATTTGTGGTTACGTATTCCCTTCGTGCAATAAGAGATCAGGGCACTCGTAGTTCTTATAAAAAACAACAAAATTGATTTGTCGATTGATTTTAAAAGAGACAAGTCGTCATTTTTAAGAAGATTCTTCTAATCGCCCACAAGGTATAAGAAAGAAAGACTACGCACCAACATGAGAGAGGGTTTGAGAACACCTCTAGTACTCAAGTGGAAAAATCAACAACCATGGGGATAGAGGAATTACATCTTGATTATAAATGAATCATGTTTAATCTAGAAAAAGATTATAAAGGAAAAAGGTGCTTGAGCGCTGTTTACAGTGATTTCTGGTAAACAACCGCTAGTCCTCCAAACTATCAAATAATCTTAATGACTGTTATTTAATCTCTCTGGTAACTTGCAGGATCGACTAGATTGATCCTATGGGGTATTGGTCGTTTGGATAACTCTAATTGTAAAACTGATATTCATAGTTAGGATTTGTATTTAGAATGTTTTATAGACGTTCAACTCACTTCGATTACCATATTAAAAGGATCTAATGACATGATCAAGTAAAGACATACGAAACTGAATTGTATGAATAAAGATTCGATTGCAAAGAAATGTTTAAATGCAGAAATAAGTAAATGACTTTGAATGTAAAGACTTTAATGTAAAAAGCATGAATATAAAAGCATGAAATGTAAAAGAGTTTCTGAAATGTAAAGGATTCGAATAGAAGAAAACGTTTAAATGCAAGAAATAAGTAAATGACTTTGAATGTAAAGGCATATGAATGACATCGACATGAAAATGGAAGGTAAACTGGAAAAGATAAAGAGTTTTACTGAATCATAAATGTTTGGTGTTATCATACGTACATTGTTCGAGCATTCGTTTCCCTAGCCATGTGGTATTTTGAATGTTTACTGAATTTTGTACAATAGATATGACACACGAAATCCTAATACTAAGACTTTTATTTATACTACTTCGACCATAACGGTCTTGCCTATAAGATTCTGCCACGTTCAGAACATGCAGAGCACTGCTCCTTTCTAGCTTCCACGCGTCTTCGAACGCTCCAGCGCATATATATTTGAATTCCAACATCCCGCTCGCGTTTGAATTTCAAATGCTTTGGCAATCTTCGCTTCGAACTCATTTCTCAGACACAGTCTTGTTACCACTTCGAGGCTTCTTTTAAATATATCTTCACAACTGTCATTCGAAGCTCCGAGCTTTGACATGTCCGTTCGAAGAACCACTTCTACCATTCCGAACTGTAACATTTTGCTTTATTCCAACGAAACATCCAATTTGCTTCATTTCGAATTGTATCATCAAAATCTTCAGCCAACAAAATGCCCCTTTAAAATATGTATTTCGATCCTTTGAGAAACACTTATTTTAAATATATTTGCAAGATTTTGATGTGACTTTTGAGTAATCATAACATTTATTGTGTATGACTTCAATCACGTCAATCACGACGCCTCTTGGATTTCTTAACCGTCTTGAATCAGTATTTCACAGCATGGTGCAGTTATAAAACAATGATTATTATTAATCACGCTTATTACCAATATCAGCCTTTACGCCACCTCCTCCTCAATCCAACCCACGACTCCTATGTATCCTAGTCTCACTTAGTGGATGTTTAAGCTTCCACACTATAAAAACTAATCAACTTAGTCTTTTATTCTTTTTCCATATTCTGGAACTTTTTCTCCCTCTCATCTTACTAAAACCCTAAAACTTCCAACAATCTTCAACAATGTCTTCAACAACATCATCCCAACTGAAGAAAACTTCCAAGAAGAAAAGCAAGAACACAAGAACAATTATGGAAAGCAAGGTTGGTACTTATCAAGGTAAATCTGTGCTTATCCCTCAAATGATCTCCAAGGAAAAGGAAATGCTCAACGCCTCTCAGGTATTGATTCCAACTAACGCTGCTGGAAAGAGGTTTGCTCTAATGGGTCCTCTTACAGTTTTTGAAATCTTGAAAGATACTAGAAAAATCTTCCCTGTCTGTTACAACTGTAAGCCCTTGTTTAATAAGATGGATATCCCTAAGATAGGCGAGTCTTCTGATTCGACAACCATAGAAACTCCAACCATTCCCCCAAAAGATCCCTTTGTGTTAGACTACGTGAAGAGCAACTTTAAACCATTTCGATCCTGCCCTACCTCTGACATAGCTTACCAAAACTGGCTTACCAAAGTAGAAGCCAAGAAATCCCAGCAATGGGAGGAATTAGGAATCTATAATCTGATTAAGTTATCAAAACCAGGCTTCACCTATAGTCATCCATTGTTATTTGCATCCTTATATTTCTGGGACAGCACCTACAACACCTTTCATCTCCCTGGGGGAATGATAACACCCACATTTTTCGATATAGCAGCCATCACTGGTTTGTCACCAGTAGGAGAAACCTACATCCCTGATAATGAAGAACACTCCAGCATTATTGACTTTGAAGTCAAATTAGCCAGTTTTTCCAAATTCATTAGCCATTACCACACTGAAGGAGATAGTGTGTCAGATGTGGAACATATTGCTTTCCTCACTTTATGGTTATCAAGATACATATTCTGCAGTAGGTCCTTACAGGTAGCAAGCAGGTTTATCCCTCTAGCTAGAGACTTACATGAGAATAGGAGGGTATGTTTGAGCGAACTGTTACTTGTTGATCTTTACGAAAGCTTAAGATCAGCCGTTTCGAGTTTGAAATCCCATACTCCCAAAAACATCCTTCTAGCTGGCCCCTTCTGGTTACTCCAATTATGGCTTAATGCCATGTTTGAACCCTCATTATCAACTGCTGACACCGTTGTTGAACAAGATCCGAAGATAGCGGATAGAATTATTGAAGGTACAAGGCTGCGAAAACTCACCCCGAATGATGATAAAGATGACTTCAAGGTCCTTTTCTCAAACTACATCATGATTTTTTCCAAAAGACACAAATTTGAAGAGACCATGGCACCCTTTTCTTCAAGGACTCATGGACCATCATGGTTCATCATGTCTCTTTCAGAAGCAGTTAAAAGCAAAGAAATTCAAGATATTTGGAAAGCCTTTTTGCTTCCTAGATTAATTTCCTCACGAATCACTCCTGCCAAGAATCAAATCTTCCTCTTTGCCTATCAACCTAACTTTGTTTCCAGATAATCTGGCCTGTGCCAACTAATCCCTGAACCTCTGTTCCAAACAGATAGTGCCATCACTTCTGGTCGAACCTTTAAAGCAAGAGAAGCCAAACTGCAACAAGAACAATATCAAGACTTCGCTCAATTCGAACTACTACCCTTTGAACCCACACACTTCACAGCGAAGGGTTTTCTGGAATGGTGGACTAAGTTCTACCAATCTTATATGTTCGATACCCTCTCCATTCAACAAAAACTAACTGATGCGTTCGATGTGCAGGTACACTCCAGGAAAGGTATGTTCACTCACTCCAAAGAGATTAGGGCTTTTCAAAATTATTTCGAAACCACTTATGATCCCACACACTTGGAAACCACTGTGCATCAAGCGGCTGAGACCTTGAAGGAAAAATTTAAAGAAAAAATTTCTAAGCTCAAACTTCCTTCAGGGTTGTCACCTGAGGATAGGTATAGGTTGGCACTCGAAATGCATCCACCTAAATTCCCTAGGTTGCCTACCTCAGAACTGGCTCTGGCTTGGTTTCCTCCATACCCTTGGTGGTTCACTTGTAAAGAAATGTTCAAATACCTTCAAAAGAAACCAAAGCCATCTGAGACTGTGACATGGGCTCGTCATTGGCTCCATGATTTCCTAGGACATCTTCGCTATGACCTTTCTGCCATGTCGATTATATTTAATCAAGGCGCAGGTGCGAATGCTTGGGAAAATCCCAAATGTTTCTTACTTTCTTCATTTTTAACTTTTACCTTATTTGTTTCGATTTTCAGCCATCAGGATAAAGTCCGTTGCTTCGAAGTCTAAAGAAGGAAGTACCTCCCAACAATCTGTCGAAACCACTGATGATGTGACCTTAGCCATACCAACAACAACTACTGCAAC